ATTTGACTACATTTTAATTGTATGTGTATGTGTGTGTCTCTGTGTGTGTGTGTGTGTGTGTTTGTGTGTGTGTGTGTGTGTGTGTGTGTGTGTGTGTGTGTGTGTGTGTGTGTGTGTGAGAATGTTTCAAGGACAACATTTTTTCCTCACATCTCAACTATATTTTCTCATGCCTTCATGAGTATTGTGCTTGTTGTTGTGTGTTTTGCTTTTAGATAATTACATTTTCACTCAGAAGGATGTCAAAGATTTGACAGCCCAAGGAACAACAAAGAGAGAATGGAATGTTTTCAGTGGTCATTTACTGCGCTCACAGCCATTTATAAGGCTTTTTATCTGTTAAGTTCATATTGGGGATAAGATGTTTGCATGGGCAACGAGAAAGCAGGATATTCATACCCCCGTATACAAGATAAAAATAGTAACCTGGTTACTGAAAACTGCACAGTTTGCACAGTTTTTTTTGTCTCAGCTCCAATCGCCCCAAAGAGCTTGCAACAACATCTATTTTTCTGTGTAATCTCTTTGGTTTGGTAACAGATGTTTGCTTACAAGCAGCTGCCCTGTGTCTTCAATCTTGTTTTGCCTAAAACTAAACTTATATTTTGAACGCTGCCACCTTTGTCTGTATTTCTGTTATGTTACTTGTTTAAGGCAGTGCGGATAGTGTAACTTCTTTACCATCTTTTGTCGAAGGGAACATTAATGTGTAAAAACATGGCACTGTAACACACTGTGCTCAAGTAGAGCAGTACGTAGCTGTGTGCTAAGCCTTTAAACGGCCACTAAATGCCTCAGGCCATTGATCATCTTCAAACAGTGCACGATGATGCATAATCCCTCCCCATAATACCCTCTTCATAATCATCATGACAACTGACAGCTCCCCACACAAATAAAACAGACGCGGAAACAGATAAAAAACAGGGGCGTTTAAGAAGTGGCCCATTATGACACATTCCCTCTCCTTTTATTTTTTCATGATAGCAAACGATCAATTATCCAGATGGCAGGAGATGTGGAGGGGCGGCTGGCATTGTCAACACACACACACACACATATGAACACATTTGGAGTTACACACAAAGGTATAAATTCAGAAGCAGGAATCACACCTCCCAACGCATGCACACAGGCTCAGACACACACAGCCATAAACATCTGTTGTGCTGTACGCCGAGGTGTCCCGCCATACTGCCTATAGCAGCAGCAAGTGCACAGATGAGGCCTACAGCTGCTCCATGGTTCCCAGTGAGAGTCCAGCACCGCTGTGATGGATAAGGTGGGATTCTTCTAATCGACAGTTTGTGGAGAAACAGATGGTTTATTTGCTGGCATTTATCAGGTCTTTATGACCAACAGAAGATAGCATCACAGGGATAGGAGCCATGCGTTTCATAGTGTACACTGTAAAGCTCAGGGAGATACACTCAGTGGGTTTTTACATATTTTGGTGGGTGTTTCCTCTGAAAGCGAAATAAAACATTTTATAATTTGAAATCTTTCTTTTATTTTGATACATTATTTTAAGAGAATAGTTTCTCAAAATGTGATATCTGTAGAAGTTACTGATAATAAACTCATTAGAGATTCATATTTATAATGATCGTAAGAGTAATTAGTTTTAAGCATAAAGACTTGAACATGTGCTTTATGATATGAGACCCGCTCTACCAATATGAGTCGGATGTCGCAACGGCACATTCTGAGATAATCGTGGATTTTTGTGAAAAAATCAAGGTTTGGGCGATTAAACAAAGTATTGGCTTTCAGAGTTTGAAACTTTTATTGTAATGTTCAGACGATAAATGGGACGGGCTAGATGGGATGTCAACTTCAGAGATATCTGTCATCTCTGATATGGCTAGTGTTTCCTCGGGAAATACACACCTACCAACTTTGTTCCACACTCCACAATACTGTAAACCTGTGTGTGTGTGTGTGTGTGTGTGTGTGTGTGTGTGACTGTGTTGTCTGTGTTGTCTGTGTTGTCTGTGTTGACTGTGTTGTCTGTGTTCACTGGGTTGTCTGTGTTGACTGTGTTGACTGTGTTGTCTGTGTTGACTGTGTTCACTGTGTTGTCTGTGTTGACTGTGTTGACTGTGTTGACTGTGTTGACTGTGTTGTCTGTGTTGTCTGTGTTGTCTGTGTTGACTGTGTTGTCTGTGTTGACTGTGTTGACTGTGTTGACTGTGTTGTCTGTGTTGTCTGTGTTGTCTGTGTTGACTGTGTTGTCTGTGTTGACTGTGTTGACTGTGTTGTCTGTGTTGTCTGTGTTCACTGTGTTGTCTGTGTTGACTGTGTTGTCTGTGTTGTCTGTGTTGACTGTGTTGACTGTGTTGTCTGTGTTGACTGTGTTCACTGTGTTGTCTGTGTTGACTGTGTTGTCTGTGTTATCTGTGTTGACTGTGTTCACTGTGTTGTCTGTGTTGACTGTGTTGTCTGTGTTATCTGTGTTGACTGTGTTGTCTGTGTTGTCTGTGTTATCTGTGTTGACTGTCTGTGTTATCTGTGTTGAC